CTATCTCTTTTTCATTTATGCAAAATCTCACACATCTTACCTCGTTGACATGTGTTATCCATGCAACACCAAGAGCTTTTCAAAAAAAGTTCCAAATATTTTGAATTTTAACGGTTTTTTGACAACGCCAAGAACCGGAACCAAAAGTCATGTCACAGTTCCATCAGCTGATTTCGTCTCCTTTGTTTGTTTGTTTTTTTTTTCTTTCTTTCTTTCCCACTTTCTTTCTTTCCTTTTTCTATCACTCAGGTACCTAACACTATCGAGCTGTTATGATGTAACGTATCGGCCTATAATTATTTTTGTAACATGAATACTTGAAAACAATATTGTGCTTTGTAATCGATCTTTCACTTTGTTTGTTTGTTTACCATTATATCATTGCTATAATTGTCCATTGTATTTATCTGATACAAGTCTATTTACGTATGTTGTATATTACATCTATTCTACTGTATATTGTATGCATCTAATACATCTATTGGCTCCATTCTAGGTGATTCACGTAATATACAATCCTACAAGTATTAATTTCTCTGCATTTCCGTTATATGAATGCCACACGAGCCAGCCCTACTTGACGTTATATCGTTACGTAATAATGATAATATTAATTATTATTATTATCATTACTTTATATCTTATTGTCATAATCATAATTGTTATTTAATTAATCATTATTATTATCATTACTATTTATGTCATTATTGTTATAATCATAATTGTTATTATCATCATTATTTTTTTTCATTTGTAGAAAAATCCACAATGCACAAACTAGATTTATTTTATTGTATCAACACGGTAGATGTTTTTTTCATATTTATTATTATTATCAATATCAATACTATCAGATCATCACAAACCGATGATAACCCCGACATCAATACCAATTCAATTAGGACCCCCCCCCCTAATATAATAATGAATTAAATAATAAATAAATAAATGATAAATAAAAACTTCAATCGGTTACCACTTTCTACACACCTTTCTGCACAACCTTCACTCCAATATCACCCTTATCTGCATCCCCACTGATCGCACATACCCCCCACCCCACCCCACCCCCCCCCACCCTTCCACCCGTGACAGATACGGAAACGGAGGAAAATCGGATATCACACAGCATTCAGCGTGAGAGGTTCTGACGTATGAAGACCGTGATGTGAATGACACAGAGACAAATCCACGTTGTCTTGGTTTTGCTGAGGGCGTGAGGGTGTTGGGGATGGGTGTGGGTGGGTGAGGAGGAGGGTATGTGGGTGTGTGTGTTCTTGTATGGGTGGGTGAGGGGGGCTTCTGTTGGTGCGTGTGTGTGTGGGTGAGTGTGCTTGTGTGTGATGTCTGTGTGTTAAGTGTGCTTGTATGTGTGTTTGTGTCTGTGTGTGAGGGTAAGTGTGCTTGTGCTTGTGTGTGTGTGTGTTTGTGTTTTGCTTGTGTTCTTGCCTGTGCTTGTGTTTGTTTGGATGTGTTTGTGAGTGTGCTTGTGTTTGTGTGTGTTTCTGTGCTTGTGTTTGTATGTGTGTTTGTGTCTGTGTGTGAGGGTAAGTGTGCTTGTGCTTGTGTGTGTGTGTTTGTGTTTTGTTTTTGCTTGTGCTTGTGTTTGATGTGTTTGTGAGTGTGCTTGTGTTTGTGTGTGTTTCTGTTGCTGTGTTTGTATGTATGTGTTTGTGTGTCTGGTGTGTGGGGTAAGTGCTTGCTTGTGCTTGTGTGTGTGTGTTTGTGTTTTTGCTTGTGTTCTTGCGTGCTTGTATTTGTTTTGTATGTGTTGTGAGTGTGTTTGTGTGTGTGTGTGTTTATGTTCGTATATTTGTATGAAAGCTTGTCAGTGTATATTCATGAACACGTATGGGTGCTTACGTGTATGTGCTTCTATGTGCAGTTTCATGTATATTTGCGTGTGTTTGTAGGCCTACGGTTCAGGTAAAGAATTTTTTTCTATGTAGATTTTTGCATATGCATGATCACGGATTAGTTGATCTTCGTATGTAGAGGTTCGTCATCGAGTGATTAGAAGAGATCAGATGAGTAAGAAAGCTCAAATCTATTCATGTTGCATTCATATTGAAAATATTTTTTTTAGTAAATTTTCCAACTCATGTTCACGACTGCTTGCATATTTTTTTGTTTCTTTCTTTACTCTCTCCTCATCCACCTCGTGTTATTCACTGTTGTAATGCATGTTTCTCTCTCTCTCTCTCTCTCTCTCCTCTTCTATCTATCTATCTATCTCTATCTATCTATCTATCTATCTATCTATCTATCTCTCTATCTCTCTATCTCCTTCTCTCTCTCTCTCTCTCTCTCTCCTCTCTCTCTCTCTCTCTCTCTCTCTTCTTCTCTCTCTCTCTCTCTCTCTCTCTCTCTCTCTCTCTTCTCTCTCTCTCTCTCTTCTCTCCTCTCTCCCCCCCTCTCTCTCTCTCTCTGCGTGGTGTGTATGTGAGTGTGTGTGTGAGAGGGAGAGAGAGAGAGATCCAGTTCGTTGTGAAGGCTGCAAACCCTACATGATAATGTCAGAATACCGTACCACAAGATGCGCCATGTAGATCTAGAGTTCTTGCATGCCACGCGGTTCCAGCCCGCACCTCCTAAAGGCATGCTGACGCGAAGCACAACGAACTTGACAGCTTCTTATCTCGTGGTGGCTTGGCGGGATTTAAGTCGTGTTGCCGTCAAACCAAAGCCGGGAAGCCAAGTGCCTCGACCGCCGAGGTGACCTGAGCGAGGTTAATCTTGACCCCGCATCCCACGCTGCCACCACATGTAGAGGATTCTGGTTAATCTCCTTCTTCACCTTGATGTAGATGGAAAACTTGGTATCCATGTAACTTCCTTATTCTTGCGGATATGAAGAGATACGCTACTAATATTTATGAAGAGGTAGCATCGATGTGGATAAAGATGTGCTTAGACAAATTCGATCAGGTCATAGTGATCAAGCCACGTCATTTCCCTGGCTTAGGTCACGGGACTGCTAAAATCAGTCTGTGCCAGATATGAAATATGTTAATATTAGCATATCTTAACGTTAACGTGGAGGTACACAGAATAACCACATGGGGCTTCTAAAGAGATGCCATTTTGCAACTCCCAACGCCCTTTTATTTCTCTCACGAGTGTTCTCTCCGTCTCATCTATCTAACTTTCACTTACTCCTTTTTCTATTTTATTTATTCATCTATCTATCTAACTATCTATCTCTCTCTCTTTCTCTCAGTCCCTCCCCCCCTCCCTCAACCCTCCCTCCCTCCCTCCCTCCCTCCCATCCTCCCTCCTCTTTCCCTCTCTCTCTTTCCATCCCTTTTATAGCCAAGCCTGGTATCTCCTTTCCTTCCTGGCCCACACTTTCTTCTTCAACCGTGACAATAAAAGCTCACGTCTTCTCACATTCCTAATAAGGTTGCTTTCTTGCCGTCTATGTTTTTTTTTCTGTTGTCGTTTCAACATTGCTTGTTTTTTCCTCATTCGTCGATTTTTGGTCGTTCCTCTTCTACACGTAAGACATACCAAGTTTCAAGTTGCAAGCTAAACATGAGCTCATGAATTAATAACTTGCTAAAAGAACGATATTCTTTCTTAAGTTAATGCAATCAACGAGATTATTATCTATCGTTATCGTTATCATTATCAACGATAATGGAAGCGTTTTAAGGAGTATAAAGAGAAATGGAAAGTAATGAAAGCCGCATACATGGAGGAAGACGAAAAAAAAAAAACAATACCTGGCAACTCAAATTGCACGAGGCAGAGTACAACAATTTTGCGAGTAAAGAGCGAGTAAATAGCTCTTTTCATACAGTCATATCTAATTGTGTGTGTGTGTGTTTTCTTACTACATGTACTGTATTTCTGGTGAAGATATAACTGAAACACGTCAGATATAGTTATTGTGGTGTGAATGATCCATATCCATTCAGACCTTATTTTTCCTAAATCATTATTGTTACTATATAACAAAGTACCATTTTTCACACACACACACACATAGATAGATATACATAGAATGGTAACAATGCTAATTATTACTGCCATCATTATAGTCAATATTACCAATATAATATTCATTTTCATTCAAGTGAAGCAGCCACGCCGTTGAGGAAGAGCCAACCTAACCTTAATTCTTCATCTTTCCTTCCTTCGCTCACCCAACCTCTTACAACTATCCTCACGCCCTTTAACCAATCTGTAGTGACCTATTCATGTGACCTCTGTTGACCCGTCTTCTGTACTGCACTGCGCCGACACCAGCAGTTTTACAACTCTATAACACGTGGCAGTGATAGACTTTGAAGCACGCAAATGTGACCTTTACTGTTCAAGGACATTTTATTGATAGATCTTTATGTGTAATTGCGGTTTTGTTTACATTCCAAATGTTCGATAATAGATACTCATTCAAAAGGAAAGTAGATCTAATCGTTATTATTATCGACATTCAAAAGTTCATAGAAGACGTTACGAATCCCTTCTGCCTTCACCATACCACCAAGTGACCCATACGCATTTGTTATGAACATTTTAAACAACCTATTTCAACACAACGACTCTCCCGGTAACCTCCCCCCCCTCCCCACCCCCACCCCGTCTCTCCCACGGCACGAGTTGTTTTCAGTTGAAGTTCAGAAAAGCAGCGTCGAGCATGACTTAGAAAACGGAATTCCTTCGGCAGGGGAAACTCCTTCAAGTTTGTTGCTAGGATTATCGGTTGGAACTTCTCGAATGCCAAGGAGGTGACGATCGGAGGGAGAGTGTGAGAAAAGCGTTGTGGTGGAGTTATTAATTAATTGTGTGTGTGTGTGTGTGTGTGTGTGTGTGTGTGTGTGTGTGTGTGTGTGTGTGTGTGTTGTTGTGATGCACTCAATCTCCGAGATACCAAAACGATTATGAATGAATTTGCTCTCGCGATTCCTTTTTAAAATCTATGTGCAAGCGTGTGCTAAGTCTTAAGACGTACCAGTAAGTGTGTGATGACTTTTAGACGTATGCGTAGTTGTATG